ATCCTCAGCACCACATACAAACAAAGATGTTGTGCCCGCCGAAAACTAAAAAATAAATATTAAAAAATTCTCTCTCTCTCTTAAAACAAACAAACAAACAAACAAAAAAGAACGTAACCAGAGTGCCTATAAAGTGGGAGAAAATCTTTGCTACCTGCACCTCAGATAGAGGTTAAAAAACACAAAAAAATTAATACCCCCCAAAAAATAATAATAATAATAATAACCCAATCAATAAACGGGCAAAGGAGCTTAACAGATACTTCACAAAAAAAAGAATTACGGTCAACAAATGTATGAAAAAATGTTCAACATCCCTAGTAATTAGAGAAATGCGGATTAAAACTACACTGAGATCTCATCTCACTCCAGTCAGAATGGCAATTATCAAGAAACAAGTAACAGTAACAGTAACTCTTGGTGAGAATGTGGGGGAAAAAGTACTCTTACACAATGCTTGTAGAACCGCAAATTGGTGCAAACACTTTGGAAAGCAGTATGGAGATTCCTCAGAAAACTTGGAATGGAACCACCATTTGACCCAGTTATCCCTCTCCTTGGCATATACTCAAAGGATTTAAAATCAGTATACTATAGCGATGTGCCACATCAATGTCAACAGCAGCTCAATTCACAATAGCTAAGATATGGTGCCCTTCAACAGATGAATGGATAAAGAAAATGTGGTACATATATACATGGAATATTACTCAGCTATAAAGAAGGATGAAATGCTAAGTGAAATAAGCCAATTCTCCCTAAAAAACCAAAGGCCGAATATTTTCTCTGATATGCAGATGTTGACTCACAATAGGTGGGGTGTGTGTGTGTGTGGAGGTTCACCAGATTGAGGGGGAAGGAGTGAAGGGAAGGTAAGAGGGATGGGAATGGGAAAGACTGTAGAATGAACTGGACATCACTTTCCTATGTTCATATATGAATACATGACCAGTGTTCACTCCACATCATGTACAACCAACAAGATTGTGAAGTTAATACTCCATATAGTACATATGACATGTCAAAATACATTCTGTCAAGTATAAGTAAAAAGAAAAAAAAAAGCTAAATAATAGTTGAACTTGGAACCCTGGAAAATATCTTTGTTCTCTAAGCACCAAGGGCAGCAGACACTGGGGCTCCCTAACCTCCAAACTCTGGGTGAGGACTTAAACATGAGGGCTTCAAAGCACTTGGGGTGGCTGGAGCTTGCAGTAAAGTAGGAGACTGGGCTGGAGGAGGCGAGAATTCAGGTGAAGGGGAAGCTGAGGCTGCAGGAAAGACAGTTGAATGGGTGCTGCCTTCCAGGAGAGAGGGCTAGTGAAGGAAGACCAAAGAGGGAAATCTCTTGCTGGAGAGAAGGGAGCCTGCACCAGTGTCCCAACATAAGGGCCAGAGCTTTCCAGAGCTGGCTTCCCGACTGCCAACTGAAGCAGGAGAGGTGCCTCCGATCTCCCTTCCCAGGCCTGCCACCACTGCAGCTCAAGGCAGAGAATGCTGGGTCCTGTCACTAAGTGGCCATGGCCTGAATGGGCACCTTGGCTCACTTGCCCCATAAATGGGAGAAGGTTCATCTGTTAGCAGTGAGGTAACGACTGGAAAGCCCGAACTTTTCAGTGAGACCCAGTGTGTGTAAGCTTATGGCTCTAGGCCCAGGGTGCACTGTTGCACCCTAAGAACACTGTTCAATTAATGGCAGCAACAAAAGTTTTGCTTCAACCCACTTGAATCAAATTGTGAAATATGATATATCAAGAACTATGTAATGTTTTGAACAGCCAACAATAAAAAATTAAAAAAAAAAAAAGTTTTGCTTCAGGGGGCCCTGGCTGTTTGTACTTTTGGTCTGAGAGCAAGAGTATAGCAAACCAGATGAAAGCCATCTTCCATTATAAGTGTCTTCTTAAAAAACTTTTTTTTTGGCAGTACTGGGGTTTGACCCAGGGATGCCCCTGGGTGACACTCCCAGTCCTTTTTCATTCAGTAAGCTGTGGAGGCTGACCTCCTAACTTGGAAACCCCTTGCCTTAGTCTCCTCAGCTGTGCCACCATACCCAGCTTAAAAACACTTTTGCATGTTAATTCATCTTTTCAGAGCCCGTAGGAAGATAGCGTGAATACACTGGTTTCCAAGGGAAGAGAATGGTCCAGAGAAGGGCCAGCTCAGCCCTGGCCAGGGCAGCTGGCAGACCTGGGTTCTGGGCTTTCTGAATTCTGACAGGAACATGACAACAGCACTCTTTGGTGAAGATTAGCTCATGTGCTGGTGGAAGCCCTCAGGAACTAGAACTACCAATTAACAGGTGGTGCTGGGGAGGAAGGGGGCCACTTTTAGGCCTTACAAGAGAATGCTGGTTATTCTGAAGGAGGCAGGCAGCCAAGTCTGAAGCTTTCCACCTCTGAATTCACTCAACAAGGGCAGGGAAGAAAGGAGGGCTACAAGAAGAATGCATATCTCGTCCACTCCCATTAAACTCTAAAGAGCAGCTCTAATTGCCAACAGGCACGGTGACTTAAATCCAGCAATGAAGGAAAAACCCACCCAAAACCTCCAATCAGAACAGGGCTGGGCAGCAGGGGGTCATTGCTAACTGTACTGTTGCCCATTTTAGTCCCTGATAACAACCAAGGACAAAGAACCCCACAGGAATAAGGGGGTCTCTACCAAGTCTTGAAAACAGAAGTAAAATCAGAAATTAGCAAATAATCAATACCACTCAAAGCACTTAGAACAATGCCTGCGAGTATCAACTACTCACGACATGCCTGCTAGTACGATGGTAATTCTATATACTTTCCTTACTCGGTAGGTTTCCAGAAGATACAGTCTGGAAGGCTTTAACTGAAACTTGCCACAAATACTCTGCATTTCTAAAAAGAGATGCATCTTCTCAAACTGGCCCAAGAGAGTTCTTTGGTCAAAGGTCAAGTTCTAGTCGTCTCCTCCATGGCTCAGACACGGACTTGAGTTTCTTAACAGAGCCAGAAAAGGTTCCAGCGGCTCAATTGCTTTATCCCTTCCATAAAAGGCCACTTCACTTGCCCCAGATAAAAAGCACTTTATTTTTATTTTTTAAAAATATTTTTTAGATGTTGGTGGACTTTTATTTTACTCGTTTATTTATCTGTGGTGCTGAGAATTGAACCCAGTGCCTCATACATGCTAGGCAAGTGCTCTACCACTGAGCCTCAACTTGAGCCCCTAAAAAGCACTTTAAACATACACATCCCACCCCAGGAAAAGACAAGAGCACACCTCGGCTCCCCAGGTACCAAGCGTTAGCAATCCTGCCAGGACTTTCTAGATATATAGACCTAGAAGCTGTGTAAATCAGCAGTCACAGTAGGAAATGTGTTTCAGACACACGAATGTGCAGTGGACCAGAACAAGTGCACCTCATACACTTACTAAAGCTCAGGCTGCCACTTCAGCTGTGAGAGGAGGAAGCGTGTGTGCATGCAGGGGGCGCGGCGGGGAGTGATGGTGGTGGTGAAAACCCAACCTGGGACTTGCCAGCTGTCCTTCACACAACATAACAGGCTCACTGTTTGAGGGAGAGGGGATTTGGGGTTTTGGATTTTGTCTCCCATGAACTAGCAGGCATCTGTCTCAGAGGCAGTTTCTTGAGACAGCTGCATGTCCTAGGCCCCTGGAGACAGAGTCAAAGAATAGAAGAAAGATAAATGAGATGCCCAAACTAAGAATTCAGGAAAACAAAACCTAGAAGGAATGAAACCCTCATCTTCCCACAGTTTAAAGTCCTGCTCCATGGACGCTCACTTTTCATGCGTGGTCCTCACTAAGGGATCACACCCTCCTGTTTCCGTTCCTTGGCAGACCCAGGCTTGCCTGGCATCTCCCCCTTTAACCTGAGAGCTCTACTCTGTCAAGTGGCTATGGTATCTAACGCTGATGCTGGCTACCCTGTGAAGAGATAACCAGTCATATGAACTGGGCTGACACGTTCTGCTGCACTTGTTTATAGGCAGGAGGATTAAAACAACCTGTCAAAGGAGGGGAGGGGGCAAACCTTGTGCACAGGACAGCATTGGGAACAGAGCAGAGAGGCCTCCTGCCAAGAAATCTTTTGCTCAAATATAAAGCAGAAATCACTCACTAAATGCCAAACCAGCTCCCTATGCCAAATACCACTTATGATCAAGTGACCTTGAGGCACTGCTTAATTTTTCCAATGTTCTTTGTATGAAAGGTTTATGTTTGGGGGCTTGGGTGTGAGGGGAGACTAAGGGAAATGGGCAACAGAGAGCCCCTAAAAAGCCCTAAATTTCAAGGAATAGCAAAGCAACACCTTCCTGGCCTACCAAGACATACATGTACAGGGCTTAAAAAGAAAGGACATTTTGTCTTTTTGTGGTGCTGGGGGCCTCACATGTGCTAGACATGTGTTTTATCACAAGCTACAGCCTCAGGAGAAAGAGGGGTTTATTTTGGTACTAGGGATTGAACCTAGGGGCGCTTAATCACTGAGCCACATCCCCAGCCCTTTTATTTTTTTTGAGACAGGGTCTCACTAAATTACTTAGAACCTAAGTTGCTAAGGCTGGCTCTGAACTTGCGATCCTCCTGCCTCAGACTCCCAAATCACTGGGAATGTTTTGATTGTATGTTTGGTTAGAGAAAGAGTTCAGTTCTGAGATATCTCAACTCCCGACCAATAGCGAAACTACCAAAACAATATCTTCCATGACCATTTCTTGCCTGAGAGAACTTCAGAACTGGGTTTTGTTTGTTTATGGTTTGTTTTTTGTCTCTTTTTTCAGTGCTGGGGATGGAACCCAGGGCCTCGAGCATACTAGGCCAGTGCTCTATCACTGAGCCACAGCCTCTCTCCCATGTCAGAACTGGGAAGGAAAAAACTGCCTTTAGGTCCAGCTCCAGGGCAGAGAGGGTTAAGCAGCAGGTCAACCTGACAATGACAGCCACAGACACAGGAAGGACAGTAAAAGGCACCAGCACCTGAATCTTGGCTCTAACAGCTAAGCCTACAGAAGCTGGCCTTTGGCTCTGTGAAATCAGACTCTTTCTCCCCTGCTCCTCTGTAAAACCATTTGTCACAGCCTCCCCACTCAGCAAGCCTGGCTGCTACCACTGCCTTAGGCACTCCAGCCTCAGAGCAAGAGGATGTCCTGTGGGGAGCCAGAGAATGGTTGAAGGCTGTGGTGCTGCCCCTCCTCTAACCAGCTGAAGGGGAACCTGGGCTCCCTCTCCAGCTACTGCTTTTCTAACCTTCTACCCACAATCCTGTTGAGAGGAAGATGAATCCATGCTAAAGAAACTAAAGGAGGTAAGTCAGGAATGAAAGTTCCCAGCTTAGGAACTAAAGAACTTGGCTTTGCTGGGGTGAGGATGGTGGCGCTGCAAGGAATTCCAAGAATACACTTCCCATATCACCCACCCACCCAGCTCTCCTGAAGATCAGGGGTAGGCCTTGGGCAGGCCTGGCAGACACCTGGCTGGGTCACCATCTCCCCTAAGGATCCCTTGCCTCCACTAATATCAAAATGAGTCCGTACCTGCCACATAGGGCAAGCCTCTGTGGCTCTCATAATGTGCACACAGAGTTGGTAATGAACTTCAGCGTCCACATACTCACACATCCATTAATCTTCCTCCAGATCGCTGTTGTCATGCAGAGCAGTGAGGCAGGCTGAGTCCCCACTCAGAGCTGGTCACTCCAGTTTGCCTGGCAGCATGGGGGTAGGGGGAGGAGGAGGAAGGGAGATTATGATTCTCTACTTTCAAGCCCCGCCTCTAAAGCCCAGGAGGGAAGCAGCTGGATTCCACTGCAGGAGCTCCAATCTCTGGCCACTACAGAGCCAACCAGCTGCATAAGGAGAACTCTGGGGAATGTGCACATCAAACAAGCTGGCGAAAGGAGGGGGAACCAACTGGGGTAGAAGAGGTTGGTCTCCTGCCAAGAACTCTGAATGGTACTCCTATCATAACTAGAACACAACAGGAGAAGGGCAGGTGTATGGTCTCTGGGAAAGGCAAAAAGGGAAACAGTTTGAAAAAAAAAAAAGACTAGCATGGAACAGGATTCATCCCTGGTGGGAGAGAGACAGTCTATGCAGCCAGAAGTGAAATGTGGTCCTGTGAAGCTTCTCCCAGCCGGACAGTCACATTCTAACCTTAGGTCAATTTCACATGCTTTGCTGCTGTGCCCTGACCCCTGCAGTGTGGAGCACAGTCATTTCAACAATCCTAGCAGTTAAGGTCTGTTATTCGGAGCACTTGTGCCACTGACTGCCAATGACAGGAGAGCAGGACTCTCAAGGGCTGTGTTGTGCAATTCAGTCTGTGGCCAGGGGCAGAGCAGAAGCCAGAGATGATGGCTTCCCACAGGGAGGGGAGGGTGCCTCTCTTGCCAGCACAGAGTCCAAGGCTGCCACAGAGAGGTGCTGTTTAGCGAGACAAATGTTCTTCAGGAGTGGTGGCCATGAAGTACTTCTTTCTCACCAACTGCTACCATGGGCCTCCTTCACAGGCTGCCTGAGAAGCTTGCAGAACCTCCAGTGGCAGAAAAGGTCTGTGAGTCACTCCCCCGTGAGAAAAGGGAAAGCAGTTCTGACCCCTGGGCTTGATAGAGCCCCAGTGTCCCAGGCCAACCCTGCTGCAAAGCCAAATCCACAGCCATAAAGTCCCCTGCCAGGAACCTGCACAGAAAAACCAGTCCTTCTTACTCTACAACATGGCACTACTGAGGTGGAGGGTGCACCAAGCCTCCTCTACACAGGGCACCCAGCCCTGGGAACAGGAAGCAATGGTTTTATATACAAAGTACGTCTTTACCAAAACAAAACAAAACCTCTCCACATCACAACTGTTCATATGTCTTCCTATGTGTGTATGTAAAACTGATTCCGCTCTAGACCCACAGGTTCCTGGACTGTCTCTACAATGGCACTGTGACCTGGCTGCTATCTTTTCTGCCTGCAGCTGGGCTCCAGACATTTGTGTTTGAACGTAGAATGTTCTCACAGACCTCCAGGTCTTTGCTGCAGCCTCCCACCTTCTGGGACCATCCACTCCCTTTTCTCTTCCTGGTAAGCCTCTCTGTAGACCTTTTTTTTTTGTGGTGCTGAGGATTGAACCCTGTGCATGCGAGGCTCTTTTCTTTTTTTAATATTTATTTTTTAGTTGTAGTTGGACACAATACCTTTATTTATCTACTTTTATGTGGTGCAGAGGATCGAGCGAACACTCTACTGCTGAGCCACCCAGATCTCACTTTCTCCAGGAAGCTTTCCCAGCTCCACCCAACCACCCACCCAGCTCAGTTCATGGGTCTCTAGTGTGCCCCTCCAAGTGATCTCCCACTCAGGACGCCACTGCTGCTCAGTGGCCTTCCTGACATTTGGTGGCTATGTGGCTCACCATTCAACAAGACTGACCACAACCTCAGGGGAATTTCCAAGACTCAATTATTTCTCTGTCATTGTGCTCAGATTCAGTGCCTGGCACCTCAGTCTCTCCAGAAATGCATCCCTAAGACATGCTGGAAGGTCATAGGGTCAGGGTTTTCCTGCTTTGTTCAGAGAGGCTTCTCACCCAGTAGTTCTTGATACAGCCCTGCTCCATGTGACCCCTTCAGTGTGAGCTAGGGCTAGAATGCTGGGTGTCCTCTGTCTTAAATCCATTCCCTAGGGTTTTCTGGGGCCTTAATGGACACAATCTCTGGCAGGATTTCAGAGCTCATCTCTGGTGTGTGCAGCTGGGGCCTGCTGTTCTTCCAGCTGTCCCTTCCCAGTTTGCTTCCTCCATGAGGCCTACAGGTAGTCCCCACACAGGCCATCTAAGCAACACAACTGCCTCTGAAGTGTGGGCAATGGGGGCATAGTGCCAAGGGTCCCAAGGGAGATCTATTCTAGACCTAGCTCTACCCAAACAAGTTATGTAACCTTGAACAAGTCATCTACCCTCTTGGGACCTGTTTCTACACTGAGAACGTGGGGACTAAGACAAGCTGTAAGGGTCTGTCCTGTGTGGATGTGAGGGCTCTCGGTACCTCTGGGCTCACAAGCCTTCCAGTCCTGTCCCCAAGACCACAGCAGGAAGTGAGCATGGGCTGCAAGTCCTGAAAACCACTTCCTGACCTTGGCTTACGTCAAGTCAACCTGCCTAAAAGTCTTGCTGCGTAAGTAAACATCACCTAACATATCTTGGACATAGGGCTCCCACTCTGGAAGACCTCACCTAGGATGAAGATTTTAAAGATAAGTGACAACTCCAGAAGTTGCACACCTTGCAAACACACAACCCTAACCTAGGATGCCCTAGGGAAGAACCCCCCAGCCCCAGCTTCAATTACCCCATTTACAAGCTACTGGCCCTTCCCAGCCTCTCTGAACACCAGGAACATGGCCACAAGGTGTTGGGAAAGGAACCATGCAGACACAGTCTAGTTCCCACAGGCCCCAGGGCTCTGCAACGTTCTTATGAGCAGCTGAGTAGGCGCAGCCCCTGGTGGGGTGAGCGGCACACCTAGGGCTGGCACCTGCCCCCACCTGCATGGTTCCCATAGCAGCTCGGTTCCTCAGGGCTCCTGGGTGGGGAGCTACCTGACTGCCACCAGTAGATAATCCGTGAGGAGAAACTGATTTGGCAAAGCCTAGCGAGCAGCAGTTTCAGTCTCTGTGCCCAGCTGGGGGAGGGGAGGAGACCCAAGCAGACCAGTCTAACAGGTCCTTCTTGCAACTACCCTGCCAGCTGGTGCCTTCTTCATGGGTTCAGAACGGAAGATAGAGAAGTCAGATGGAGCTTTTACACGAAGACCACAGGGACTAAAGAAGGGAGAAAATGGTCATCTTTCTTATTCCTGCCCTACCCAAAATTGTCCTGGAAAACCTCGTACCTGACTTCCTCGGAGTTATTTTTTCCCCTTTTCGTCTTCTTTTTTTTTAATTATTTATTTATTTATTTTTTTAGATAGGGTCTTGCTAAATTGCTGGGGCTGGCCTCAAACTTGCAATACTCCTGCCTCAGCCTCCTGAGTCACTGGGATTACAGGCATGCACCACTGCACCCAACCCCTCACAGTTCTTGGGCCTCAGAAAAGGAACCAGTCTATATCCACACCACTCTGAATGTGCCTGATCTCGTGTAATCTTGGAAGCTAAGCAGGGCTGGCCTGATTGGTACTTGAATGGGAGAAAAGCAACTGATCTCCTGAGACACTTGAAGCACAATCTGGGTCCTCGCCACCACCAGGCGCTGAGTTGGTGTGAAATCAGTTCTTCCTGTGCCATGCTCCCAAGTTTTTCTCCCCTATAAATAACTGCAGCTATTTGACACAGAGCGCATGATCTCTCCAACTCTGGACAAAATTCTCAACACTCTGAGTACCTATTCACCCACCACACAGAGGAAAGGATGAGGCTGGTGACGCAAAAGTCCCAGCATATATGGCCTGAGCATCAAGAGCAAGAATAGAACTCAGGCAGAGCCAAGGGCTTAGCTTTCTGCTTTGGTCCCTATTTCGGGAAGCCAGGCAGGGATTCCTCAGCAAAGGATTTTCTCCCTGTGGTTTCCTCTCTTGATTCTTAATCCAGCAATAGTGTAAACCTTCCCTCTCATCCTCAAAAAGTTGTGGGTATTTTGTTGTTTGTTTTGTTTTTCTGGTGCTGGCATGGGTCTTGTGCAAGATAAACAAATGCTCCACCACCGAGCTATATCCCCACTCCAAAAAGGAGTTATTTTTAGTAATTATTGTACCTAAGATACTGATTAAGAGTTTGAGGGCTGGGGTTGCGGTTCAGCGGTACAGTGCTTGCCTAGCACGTGCAAGGCCCTGGGTTCAATCCTCAGCACCACATAAAAATAAATAAATAAAGATATTGTACCCAACTACAACTAAAAAATAAACATTAAAAAAAAAGACTTAAATAACCAAATAACTGGATAGAGACAGATGTCTGGGTTACAAACTAGTATATATACACTTTCTTGAGGATGGTTATAGTGGAGAACACCCATATTACAATTTTTATTTTATTTTATTTTTTGTGGTGCAACATATCAAACAGCTTGCACTCTACCACCAAGTTACATCTCCAGCCCATTTTTTATTTCTCAAATAATTCATTGAGCGATGACCATGTTGGGCTGGGGATGTGGCTCAAGCAGTAGCGTGCTCGCCTGGCAAGCATGCAGCCCAGGTTCGATCCTCAGCACCACATACAAACAAAGATGTTGTGTCCGCCGAAAACTAAGAAATAAATATTAAAAAAAAAAATTCTCTCTCTCTCTCTCTTTTAAAAAAAAAAAGAGAGAGAGAGATGACCATGTGCGAGGCACCCTAATAGGCTCTTGGGGAAGGAAGTAGGACCAGGAGGAATAACATAGCCCAACCTCTCACAGTTCTTGGTCCATTCAAAGGGGTTGACAATCTAACAGGAGAGAGAAGCACAAATCACACAGTCCAGTACAGACAAAGCCAAGAAGTTACGGTTGGCCTAATTACCCAGATTTATTAGTGGTCTGTGGTCTTTGTTATTTTTCAGAGGAACAATGAGCTAAGAGGGATCAGAGCAGAAGATGCCAGGTTTCACTTCCAGTGAGGACTATCAGTTCTGCCAGGATCTGTCCAGACCCTGGGTCATTAATGAATGGGCCGCCTATGCACCAAGTGTACCATGTCCCGCAGTACCAGAGTGACGACGACGACAACTCAAGGGACTCCCTGAGGCATGGCTTAGCCTTCCTGTCTTTCATCACCATCTGGAAGCTACAGTCAAGCCTACTGTACAAGCAAAGATGATATGAGAACTTCAAAAGCACAAAATAAGAAAGCTGCTCAGGACTCTTCGTCACAGAAATAAAGTCAGAAAAAGCCCTTACAACAGAAACTGAAGCCAGTTATCCTGGCAAAGATTTGGAAGCGATTCCTGAAGTTCTGTACCAGAACCCCTATCTCAACACTGGCTGTAAATAGGGAGGCACATTTGTATATTTTCCCTTTATTACCCAGTTGCTGGGAGTCAAGCCTGGTCCCTATAGTTCAGTTCAATTGACACGAGTTTTAAAATCTTACCCCTATCCTTCAGTCTTCTAGCAGGTTCAGAGCTCTTCAGGAAGAGATCAGGAAGAAATAAATACTTGTTCCTGAAGGTAACTGGGAAGAAAGAAAACTGCCTAGACAAACAGAAGATTTTCTGCCATCTCAAACAACAACAACAAAAAAAGTCAGTTAATTCAGCGCTTGAGGATAAACACTAAGGCCAGGTTTTCTGTGGGGTGAAAAACACAATTCTAAACTAGTTCTTCTCCTGCCTTAAGAATAGAAAAGCTGGGCTGTGGTTGTAGCTCAGCGGTAGAGTGCTTGCCTAGCACATGTGAGGCCCTGGGTTCAATCCTCAGCACCACATAAAGATAAATAAAGTATTGTGTCCATCTACAACTAATATATATCATATATATTTAAACATATAGTTTTTTAAAAAGAATATGAAAATTGGTGAAAGGATGGGTCCAAATCATTGCAAAATAAATAAATAAATAAATAAATCACTTCTTGGAATTAAAGAAAAAAATGCACATGAGCATAAATAGGAATGGGTTTGTTTAAAACCTTTCCTTAGAGAGCAGATTAGCTACATGAGACTCTTGTGGAGTGGTTTACCATGAAGAATTTTATAGTGTACGCATGCTGAATGTGAAGCTGGGAGTTTGGCATCTAAACATTTATTATTCAGAAAAATCCTTACACCACGATCATAATGAAGGTTTAACATCAGTGTTTGACATTTTGTCATTAAAGGATTGGTTTTAACAGTCTAGATTTGGCAGCCTGCCCTATAGGCTGTTTCACAAGCAGTTTCTGTGGTTTCAAGAAGGCAGGGTGTTTGCTTTTCAAACACTATCTTAAAAATATATTTTAGAATAGGGTTCAACCATTCCAAGACAGAAGGAAGGAATGAAAACCAAACCAAATAAAGGAATCTGGTGCTGCCAAACAAAAGGGGGCACACCAGAGGGAGAACAGGGTAGGAAGAGATATTACTCACCACCTGCACCAAAACAGAAGCAGGCCGACTCAGGACTTCTTACTACCAAGTGAGAAATGATGGGGCTGAGGATATAGCTCAGGGTAACGCATGTGCTTAGAAAATGCAAGGCTCTGTGTTCCATCCCCAGTATCACATTAAAAAGGAAATGAGGACACAGAAGTGACATTAACAACATGAGATTAATAAAGGGAATCCCTACACAGATCTTCATCTCTCCAAAGTCAATTTACCTGGCCCAAATCTACATGTTTACTCAAAAACACGAAACCAAACAAAACCACCCCAATGGTTCCACATCCACGCAAAGGACTGTCATCTAATCAATTAGCAGCCACTCCTCTCTGCCAGCATGCCGTTGGTAATTAAGGTACAATGCTTTCTCCTTGGGAATAGAGTATAGAAGGGCAGAGCCCCTGTGGACTAGCCCAACATGCCAGCCTTTTCATTAGTGAGGAGAGCCCTGCCACGCACTCTCCAAGGAAGCCGTGGCTGCAACACTGAAGAGCGCTTGCGTGTGACTAGCAGCTACCTCTGCTGAGAGAAAAATGTATGTTGAGATGGGAATGTGGAGAGGGGAGAACCACTCATAAGAAAGTCCACAGGCTGTGTGCTCCTCCAAGTCATTCATGTGGACCTTGGCTTTTCTACCAGAGATGAGTTCTAAAGTAATTTAGATATAACAGCCATAATTTTGGAGAAGTGCATTAGCTTTGAGCACGAACAACATATAATCAAACTCCCGCTTCTCCTCCACTAGGGCACCAAGAGGCGTATAAGTGGCAAACTGCTGCTTGAATCTAGGCCTACAGCTCATCCCTTTGCCCTCACCCCAGACTGGCATCTTCAAGGGAAAGTTTAACTCAAAGTTAAACTAGAGTTTAACTAAAACTCTGTAGAAGGACACACAGCATCCACTCCTGGTCTAGAAGGGCCACAGGCATAGCTATAAGCACCAGCTTCAGGAGAGAGACATGAACCAAAAAGAGACCAAGTAAATGCAAATAGTATTAAGTGGCATATTACACAAGCCACAGGCTAAAGACACATCAGGACGGCCAGAGTTCAACTCCCAGGATTGAAACAGCAAGCCCCAAATGCACACAGATGTCTGACACTACCAGCTATGGTGCTCTGCACTCTCAACAGTCTAGGTTAAGAGCAAGTAGCGAGCGGGCTGGGGATGTGGCTCAAGCGGTAGCGTGCTCGCCTGGCATGCGTGCAGCCCGGGTTCGATCCTCAGCACCACATACAAACAAAGATGTTGTGTCCGCCGAAAACTAAAAAATAAATATTAAAAGTTAAAAAAAAAAAAAAGAGCAAGTAGCACACAGAGGGTTGTAAAGAGAGAACTTGAGTTCATTTCATAGGAACAAAAACATACAGTAAAGAATTACACACAAAAGCTTCTTACTTTTTCTTTGTGGGGGAAAGGATGGGGGTTTAAAAAACCCAAAGAGTTTCATCATTTCATGGGCGCCACTGAGCAGGACAGCCAAATCTAGAAATCCAAACTGTCCTTTCCATGAGGTTCTTACCTGTTGGTTACCAACAGGACTTCCGTTTTACTAAAGGGGTTCTTGAAATTCCAGAAGATGTGAAAAGATAAAACAGCAAACAAGAAGATGGCTTGAGTTTCCCATGGTTCTTCAGGGTGTACTCAGCAGATGACCTTAGAGCTGCAGCTACTGCACACACCACTGCTGTCACTTGTGTAAATAGATGACAGACAGAAACCATTGAGGTCAGAGGGGACTCTAAATCCAATCTATGAGCTGGGTGTGGTGGTGCTGCCTGTAGTCTCAGGACTCAGGAGACTCAGGTAAGAGGATCATTAAGTTTGAGGCCAATTTCAGCAACTTAGCAAGACCCAGTCTCAAAAATAACAAAAGAGCTGGGGATGAAGTTCAGTGGGAGAGCACCCCTAGATACAATCCCCATTACCCCTCAAAATCCAGTCTGTGAGACATTCTTTTTTTTTTGCGCCACACCTAAAGAAGCTAATCCTCAGGGAACTACAGATTCAATATCCTTTATTCACAATGCTTGGGACCAAAACTGTTTTGGATTTGCATTTGTGTGTGTGTGTGTGTGTGTGTGTGTGTGTGAGAGAGAGAGAGAGAGAGAGAGAGAGAGAGAGAGAGAGAGAGAGAGAGAGATATCTTGGATTTGGGACCCAAGTCTAAACATGAAACTCATTTATATTTCATATATATCTTATACATACAGTCTAAAGGTAATTTCATAGAAAATTTTAAGTTAACCTGTGTTTTGACTGCAACTGGTGACAAAGAGTCATCTGCAGAGTTTTCCATTTGTATAGTCATGTTGGCACTCAAAAAAGTCTCCGTTTTAGAATGGATGATTTCAGATTTCTGAATTGGGGATGCTCAACTTGTACCTTCTACTGTGAGGATAAAAGTGAAGCCAGGGATGAAGGGCTATCCACAGCCAAAAACACTCACAACACTCACTCAGGGCCACTTGGGTCTTCAGTTTTAAATTGGTGACTCAACATCTCTAACCCTGTTTCCTCATCTGTAAAGTGAGCAAAATAATAAGACCTATTCTCTCACAAAGAGTAAATGAGTTAATGAATGTAAACCAGTTAAATAAGAGCCTAGGACAGAGAAAGTGCTCAATAAATGAATGGTGGCTATTTTGTGAATAGCTACAGAAAGACAGCTGCAGAGGCAAGCCATGCTGAAGTGAATGGGAAGGGGTGAGGCACTACCTATTCTTCAAGTATTCAGTCCCCTCCTTTAGGACCAAGTTTCCCAACCACTTGGGACAGAATAATAACCTAAAGGGCCTTCCAGGAGGCACCACTGAGTCACTGTCTTAGCTAACAGGAGTACACAAATTTTTGAAAGCAAAAGTCTTTATCTTCTGTACACACCAGTAGCCAGAGCGAAAATAACATATCAAGTTCAATTCTGGAATCAAAATGAAAGCCACATGTGAATCCGAAAAGAAATATGCTTTGTGTAAAGAACGGAGGGTTGATGGGAAATGGAGCTATAATCCTAGAAGTCTATGTGTAGACTCAAACTAAGAGAAGTTAAACACTTGACTAAACAGTTGTTTTTTAAAAATTATTCCAATGTAATTCTGAGCAAATGATTTGCTTAAAGCTGGTGTTAAGTGATTATTAGAGAAGGCCTTCGGGCTACTATTTGTAGTAGTTGCTTTTAAAAGTCACAGGTGCTATGGAAATTGGGGGATGAATATGTCAAAAGAACAAAGTTGAGAATTACAGAGTAGTTTAGAAACTATATGTCTACTACATTTGGGGGGAACGGGGTACCGGGAATTGAACTCAGAGGCACTCAACCACGGAGCCACATCACCAGCCCTGTTTTGTACTTTGTTTAGAGACAGGGTCTCACTGAGTGACTTAGTGTCTTGCTTTTGCTGGGGCTGTCTTGAATGCTCAATCCTCCTGCCTTAGCCTCCCGAGCCACTTGGATTACAGACATGCACCGCTGCGCCTGGCCTTTTTTTTTTTTTTTTTAATTTTTTTTTGGTTGTTGATAGACCTTTATTTTAATTTATTTATATGCAGTGCTGAGAATCAAACCCAGTGCCTCACACGTGCCAGGAAAGTGCATTACCACTGAGCTACAGCCACAGCCCCTACGCCTGGCCATTTTTACCTGCCTCTCAAGACTAATCAAGGAAAGAGACCCTGTTACAAACACACCAAATATGCTTACCTGACGAAATGCAGAGTACCTGCCTCAGTGTGGGATTTGGCAGGCATGTTTCACTAAGAAGCAGAGGCTAAGAAAGTAAAGTATGAAAGAAGAAGGAAAAAAGTATGGAGGCCCTGTAGCCATCCAAGGAACAGGCTGATGGGTATTCTGGCTTCAATGACTGCAGCCTAGCAGCCTCCAGCTATTGCAGGCACCAAGGTTCTTCAAGGATAGAAGCTATGCAAGCTTTGCAGTTTTCAAATTTGGAACTGACCAATAGCCAATATACAAAATAAAAAAAAGAAAAAAATACCTACTGTTATAATGAAATTCAAGTAAGCCAAATGATCTTTTTAATGGAATATTAAAAAAAAAAATCCAATGCTATGCATTCAAAGGAGGAAATGAGCCAACTTTGGTCAAAGTCCCCTGGGTCACTGAGAAACAGCTTCCTCAGCTAGAATGACTACAAACCAAGGCAGCAAGTGCCTTCCTGAGGCTGGGCCAGGACTCTGGAAATTGCAAAACAGAGGCTCATTTATGAGGTCACAGCAAGTCACCAACTAATCAAGAGTAGTGCTGACCAGCCTGATATTTACCTACAGAAGTAGTTCTCATATTTATGTTTACAAACTATTTTTGCAGCAATGGGGACTGATCCCAGGGCCTGGTGCATGCTAGGCAAGCGCTCTGCCATTGAGATACATCCCTAGCCCTTTTTATTTTATTGTGAGACACGATCTCACGAAGTTGCCCAGACTGGCCTTAAACTTGAGATCATCCTGCCTCAGCCTCCTGAGTAGCTAGCATTTACAGGTGTGCCCCTCCACACCCTGCTTAAAATTAAATTGGACAGGGAATCCTAGAACATGAAAAATACAAGAGTGGAAAAACTGATGAAATCTGAGTAAATTCTGTATTTTGGTCAACAGTATCATACTAAGATTCATTCTTAGTTTTGATACAGTTCTACGGTTACATAAAATGTTAACATAAGGGGAAGCTGGGTAAAGAATGCATGGAAAGTCTTTGGAGTATTTTTGCAACTCTTGTCAAGTTTAAAATTATCTCAAAGTTTTAGAAAATAAAAATCAGAACCTGGGAGTATAGCTTTGTACTAGAGCATGTATTCCGCATGTGCAAGGACCCAGGTTCAACACCCAGCACCTAAAAACAAACAATTTGTTTTTTTCCTAAAAGAAACTCAGAAGGTTGATGTTATGTATTCAAAGGAGGAAACAAGTCAACTTTGATCAGAGACCCTCAGGTCACTGGGATTAGCTTCCTCAGTTATAAGAACTGCAATCCAAAGCAGCAAATGCCTTCCACAGGCACAGC